TGAATAAATGGTTAATATATACCATTTAATTTGAATGTATCATAATGGATCCCACGTTAATATTTTTTTATTATACGAAATTCCAACCAGCCACCAAAAGGGAAGAAGTCCTTGACCAAAATATCAGAGGATATTAAACTGAGAAATGATCTACTGATGCAAATCATTAAATCTATTTGCATTTGCTTACTGAACCCTATCAAAGAAATTAAACTACATACAGTCAGAAAAGAGAGCCGCTTGTGCATGGTTAAAAGGAGACATCTTGGAGGTTCCAGGGATCTATGTCATTAATTTCTCCCACTTTCTCTCATTAACAAGTAAAATGTTTTCACTGCATGAAAAGTTTAAATAAATAATGGAAAAAAAATAGATGTGTAAGAAGCATACCTGACATATTTTAAAAGGTAAAAACAAAAAAATGCTTAATATATCAATATTCGACCATCTGTAGACACCCAATTTACATTGCGTCCACAAAAAAAAAAACACAGAAAGCCTACATAAAAATGCTTGTAATAGAAACTATATTTGTACACCTGGTTCACATAAAATTTTCAACATTTACTTTAAATCTGTCAGAAAGGTAAGTAATACAAACTAAGCACATGCTAAAAGAAAGGCCTAAAAAGATTAGTTATTAAAAATCACATCAAAACAAAAACAGTAGATCCAGAGAGACATCTGGGGTTATATGCAAAACTTGACTTTTCTTGTAAAAGTCAATCTAGGTCACACTTCTTATTTTTAAACAGGGCGAACAGTCTTAATGTTAAATAGGACTGCTCAGGAGGCAAGAGGGCAAAGCTTAACCTTCCTGTAAAACTTGAATATTTGTAGATAAAAACAGCTGCCTATATCTCTATCTGTGCATCATTTTAACATTTACAGGGTTATTCACAAAAGGGTGAAGAGTTTGGAGAAGGCAGGAGAAGTGAACAATCTAGGTCAAAAAAGCGGATTTGGAAAAATTCTCAAATTCAGCTCACTTTCCAGTTCAGCGATGTTGTCCCAGAGATTTTCACTTCTCCTGCCTTCTCCAAATTCCATTGTGGACCCCTTTGTGAATAACCCTGTTGGTTTTCAACAAATATAATCTGATTTTTTTTGTCACAAGCTCAGGTTTATAGTTTTGTAACAGATTTACTTTGAAGTGTAACCTAATCTGGATCATAAAAGCAAATTGCACTCTTGGAGCAACAGTTTTCAAAAATCAAGACAATTTTAGGATGCAAAAGACCAATAATGCATCAATCAGCATTAAAAACATTGTTCAACATTCTATCCCTTCCCTGATCAACAGAGGTTTTGCCTGTATTCCCCTGCCCCTGCTGAAATTTGTCACTACTTCCTCTTCTGACTGGAAGAAAGGGGAAGTCTCCCCAACAGAGACAAAATCTGATAGAGGCTTCCCTTCTCAATCCAAACAAAATAAAACCTTTTAGAGTTGGGCTTCAAATGCTGTCAATGAGGCAGTTATAGTAGACAGGCACTGTCTAGGGTTGTTCCTGAGGTGAATTATTTTAGATGTCTCACTTTCCTACTCCCGTGTGCCATCATAGCGACTGGCCAATACCAAAGCAGAGTTGGGAGATTATAGCAATGACAAGGTCATAGAGGCCTGCACCATAACACTTTTAAGGTACACGGATTAGACGATGTAGCTATACAAGTAGAGGAGATGCGACCCCATGCAAGTTTTCTCTTTTTTCCATAGAGCTGCAAGGTGGAGCATCAGACATGACAAAGACAAAAAAAAAAAGAAGTACTCTGAGAAGAGGATGACTTTGCTGATCTAAAAAAAAAAAGGCTTTTCAATTTTGGGGGGGTGGGGGGAAAGAGTGATCGCCTACCTCCACAACACTTTGTTTTCCATGGGATCACAGGTTTAGGGCCCAGTCATATAATGCCTTGCGTTAAGACAGCCTATCAATTTTGAATGGGCTAACCGTGCACCCCAACATGAGGAATACCGTGCGTGTCCTTTTTTCTATGCAGTATACTATAATGAATGGCATGTGCATTGTAGTGAGCTCTGCCCAATACTGTAGTAGTGTATTGGAGTGCCATTCAAAATGAATGGCACTGCAAGGCATTGAGGTATGCACATTATTGCAACGCATACAAGTTAAAGGGCCCTTATAACTAATCCAAATCATAGAGCACAATTTAAAGAGCACATATTCTACAGTAAAAACATGATGAGGGTGGTTGGGAAGAAGGATGCTTTACTTGTTTTTCTACTGATGAAGATAGTTTTACTGTATGTTGTCCAAGACCCACTCCTACCCTTTTGTGCTTCCAAACTGTTTACCTGTAAGATTGTTGCCGTTAGAAGGTGGAATAATTATTCTTCTATTGCCTAACCACCCTATAATGGCCATATACTAAAAAGAGGGTAGAACAACACATAATGGGGAAGTAACTAAAGCATGGTTCAAAAATCATAAAAATAGCAGTAAAACAAAGCAACTTCCCCGCCACTTTTTCAGCATACTGTTTTTATCAAGCATACAGGTGCACTTTAAGGACAGAGTAGAACTTTATTTATTCATTTATCCAAAACAAATTATAAAACCTGCTTAAGATGGATTTCTGAGCCAGCAAACATAAATAGTACAGGCCCCCAGAGTTATAATTTAGATTGAATGGCTACCAAGAAACCTGTCTCTCAAACAATAAAACACAATGTTACACTGGCACCGGCTGTGTATGTGGGTCTGTGTGTGTGGGTTTTTTTTTTAATAGTATGGGAACAAGCTGAATGCGTGCTTCACTGGCTGGAGGGCTTAGCAGCTTTTCATTTGTGAGCGCTGAAGAGGGGCTCCCCTGTGTCCCAAACAAAAGATACGCTGCGAGAGAACGCTGTAAACGCTTCACCTGCTGGAGCCAATGAGAGAGAATAAGGCTTGTCTCTGGCATCAGCCAGCATGCAAACAAGTGAACTATGTTTTTCTCTATACTGCTGCAATATTATGTGAGGAACTTTTGATACTCAAACAAATACACACGGGAACTTCTTAACTGTTTGTCGGTTCAAACTTTTTGTTTTTATGAAGGCTGGCAGCAAACCATAAGTTTCTTACGCTGCAGAGTGAACCTGCAGCGCTGTAACAAGGTATGTGCCCCCGCCCCAAATAGGTTTAACTTGCAATGTATTTACATTAAATTGAATCAACTCATTTTGTAGGATACTGTAGAAAAATATATCTGAAGCCTCAAAGAAAACAAATATTGGTGGTATTCAGGTATTACTTCTAAAAAGAGGCAGATTGTGCAGCAAATTATGTGTGTACAACCAAGAATCACACTACACCCAAGTAAGCCCACCTGCTCCATAGTTATGTATATGGTGAGAGAAGCAGCACTTTAAAAAAATTTAGTTGTATTCATACTGTAAGTAAGGAAGTATATGCGCTGACACTTTGTATGTACAAACATTTATTTCAGATGAGAATCCAATGTGCATACAAGCACATAATCAACATGCCTACACATTAGCATATTGCACTACATGCAATAGAAAACACCTGTGCTGTGTTGGGAAAAAATAAGTTAGGTTTTTGGTCAATTTAGGCTGGCCATACATCTATCAATTTTTTCCGCTCAACCCATTGGCTGAACAAATTGACCCGATTCCTCCATCAACACAAACAGTGTGTCGATCGAGGAATCCCGCTGTTTACATTGTATTCTGACAGGTGCCTCTGGCACCTGTCAGAATACCTGATCAGAGCGGGCAGCTCATTGGCTGCCGGGCTTTGATCAAATCGAAAATTTTCCAGCTGGCTCCTTTGATCAGCTGATCGAGGAATGCTGGCTGAAAGGGAGCCGACAGCCCCACACACTGTGCGAATTTCGGTCGGTACATTAAAAACTGCAAAATTCGACCAGTGTATGGGCACCTTAAGATGCACCATTGAACATACACAGAATGGAGTGAATAGGCCCTTTGCATTTCTGCCATTTGGCATAATGGACATTAATAGGTAATGTGGGCAAGTGTAAAAATAGATAAGAGAACCAAATACATTGCAAAGTTATAGCAGAGAATTGGGTATTCTCTGAAGGTGCTAACATGATGTACAATTATGCAATACTGTGTTTGGACTCCACAGTAGCATAGCCATTGTATTTATGTTATTCTTTTAAGAAATATCCACAGTGATATGATATCAGACCACTTCCGGAGTAGAAAAAGATGACTTAAGACTGTACATTTTCCCCATTGCTAGCAAAGCTTAGCTCAGTCACACAGCTTGGCGGACTCCGGCTATGTATATGCCCGACCTAAGAGGACATATAAAAAGGAAGCTCCAAAGGGTGCAGGTAATAAACAGTGCAAGTGCAGAGAAATGTACCAACATCTTGAAAGACATTGTTGCAGATCCAATGTAAAATATGATAGCATGTTTATTCACTACTTACATCACCTAAATACAAACAGAAAGTAGAAAATAAAGTTCCTTCAGGGCATGGCAGAAAATAGAACCCACTTTAAAATGCCTCCCATAATTTAAGTGTTCAAAGAGTAAATCTGGTAATGTCAATATGAGGATACAGGATATATAGCAGTATTACTAAAAGGCAAAGTATTCCAATGACTGAACGTATGTTTTTGTGATGCACAATAGTCAATAGTCTCATGGTATTTTACCTTTTTTGTACCCAATATGTGATTACTGCTTATGTCCACAGTGATAATGATATCAGATGATCACTGCTATGATGGAAATGCTTCAAAACTAGCATGTATTCACTCCTTCAGACCACAGTGGACACTAGCATCTGGTGGATCTCAATGTTTAGCATTATGGTTATACATATAGTATTTTGCTATTTAAACAAAAAATAATAATATATATTACTGTAATTTATCCCAATTCTAATTAACAAACTCTGGATGTGGAAAATGGACCATTGCATGTTATTGCCTCTGAAGCCTACAGTTTCCATGGTGGGTGTGTGTATTAGCAGCAGTTCTTCACTATTAAACTCACCCAGATTCTGGTGCACCATCACCTTTCAGCTTGATCTCATGTATCCCTTCTTTACACCCAGAAACCAAGATTTCTCCAACAGAACTTTTAATCAGGACCTGTTCCAGCTTGCAGCTTCCACTTATCACAGACATCTGCAAAAAAAAAAAAGAATTCACTGTTGAGGATGCTGCATTATTTGTGTAAAAAGAGCCATTGAATGCATTATGGTTTACATACTGATTTCAGCATTGATACAGTTTAAATGATAGATTAGAAAGCCCATGCAAAATTCGCACCACAAGAAATCACTTATCCATTTCACGTGAGCTGTGAAGCAGCTCTGAGAAGTAGTGTGGCCTTAGCTCGTTCTTTTGGGGGTTCCATGACTGGATCATGTGACGAAACAGCATCATAACACTGCAATAACCTCAGATATGTTAATTTCTGACAGCTGACCAGTAAAATATTAGTTGGGAAACTTCCAAAGTAAGCAGCAGGAGGGCATGTGCTCTCTTTTTTCTTTTTCCCTTCAAGTAGGAAACCGCTGTTGGCTGACGTTCTGACAGGGCAAACTAGGCGGCTGCGAGGCCCTCGGGAGCGCGAGGCCTAAGGCGACCGCCTAATTTGCCTAATTAAAGAGCCGCCTCTGGCTGTAAAATAGGAATACCAGGAACACAAAATTGAGGAGTACCCCTTCTTCTATATCACCTGCTGGGGCTGCAGAGCACATAATATGGTAATTATCTTAAGGGAAGCACTGTAATTTACTGGTGGCACTCAAGGACAGTGGGTTCAACTTTAAAGAAACTGTAAAGTGGCAGAGAGCATTTTCATTTTAAATTTGTGCGTGTAAAATTCTCCCAAAGTCAGTTACCCCCACATGGTATCTGAATCACATACTATTAGGTCTCATTACTAATTTTTCAACATATGCAGCTAATATGTACAATATTAGCACACTTTTGACAGAGGAAAGAAAAAGGAAAAATTTACAATATACATGTACTTTTTTTTCATTTTAATAAAGCATTGCAAAGAGAAATAGTGATAAAATGACCAACTGCCTCCCATAACACTAGAAGCTCAAGTTGTCTTATACTGGACATAGGGGCTGGACATATCCAATCAACCAGGCTAACGGCAGATCTTTAAAAGTCAAGCTGGGGTTTTTCTATAATTGCTAATCAAAGCACTCGCTCTGTTGGTCGATTAAATGGCTCACTGTCTTTTTAAATTGTTTGGTTGGCTTTCAAAAATGTAAATTTATTTGATCGCAACACTCTTTGTGAATTTACTTTTACCTACAACGCACAGCAAAAAATTATAACTTAGCGTGCCTGCGGTAGCTCATTAGGGTTGTACAAAAAGAAACTAAATGAAGTCACCATTTTAGACAGTAAAAAAACATAGTAACATGAAATTTAAAAAAGAGGGTTTTCCTGGGAGATTTCTGATTTAAAGGGTTAATAAACCCTCAGCATTTTTTCTCGACTCGACTACTAGCAAGCAGTAGATATATGCAAAAACATGAAAAAAAAACCTTTTCAAACAGGTTAAAACTTACCTGTGTCTTCACTGCACGCTCCCGTCCGAACATCTGAAGAGTCTCGGGCAGCCGCAAAGGATCAGATGGCGCATGCGCAGTTCAGATCTTCGGCTGGGAGACGAGGAGAGACACAAGGTAACTATATGGAGCAGCGTGCACCCGCACAAACACTGTGGCACAGGCAGAGCCATCTAAAAGGTCCGCACACACCGCACGTTTTTTTAAGTACCTTACAACCATCGCAAGACAAAAGTCTTCCGATGGTTGTAAGGTGTGTGCCCAGCATAACACAGAGGAGTCAGCACTGGATCGGAGACCCGCACCAGTGCTGAAAGGACAGCTGAAAAGGACAGTAAAGATGATGATCGAATCAAGAGGCATCATTTAAGGTAAGTCCCTACAGCAGGTTTGGGAAGGGGCAAAAAAAGTTTGACTTTAATGTCACTTTAAGCCACAACACAGCAGACAAAAATGTATAGTTATAAAAATATTGCATATGTTACACAGTCCAAACTTATTTTCTCCTTTCATAAAGAAACATCAATAATTCTTAGTGATAACCCATTCCGTGCTGGTTCCATTACAGTTGTGGACGGTTCCTGACAGGCAGTAAATAGTAATTGCTCAGTAAATTATGCAAAAGGGAACTGTGGAATCTATAATAATTAATATAAAACAATATGATTAAATCACCTGAAGACGGATAACCTATTTCAAGCTTTGTTTTAATTTCTGCTCCACCGCATAGCTACATTGAGCGCCCAACCACCAATCCAGCAGCGTAGTCCAAGCCCCAACTTGGCAGGGTGGCTGCACAAGATCAAGGGTCTTCTTCTTTCTCAAGATCACAGCCCTTTAATCTGTACCGATTTTTACCTAGAGCTAGAAGCCATTCATATTAATTGACTACAGTGGAGGAATTGATTTTCATGGCAAATTAAGGATCATTTGCAAAATAAAATGCATTTTTGTTTCGTCTCTTTCATCCCCGGTTTTCACAGGAATTGGGATTAGAGAATTAATCTTTTGACACCGTTTTAATGGTGGTTTCCGCAATGCCCTCAATGAGAATTTCAAATATAGAACAGCTGACAGAGCCCCGTTACAACAATTAAATCCCCTTAAAAATGAGACGGAGGTTGTCTTGTAACTGAATTTTAATAGGCACGATCTTCCATATAGACTGTTAAAGAGAACAAAATATGTATTACAACTCTCAAGTTTATAGTAGGGTAACCAGCAGGGGCTGGAAGTTGCGCAGTTAGACTTGTACAATGCAAATCAGATGTACTATATATGCAAATCAAGAAACACAGCACTCAATTAAGTATAAGGGACTTTCATGTCTTCCAGTGCCTTAATCCTAAATAAGAGAAGGCAGCATCAAACTGCAGACTGGAATTGTCCTCTAATTGACTAGATCTGCATTGTGGAATTTGATTTAATGAACTCTTTAAACAATTCAGTCAAGTTCAGCCCAGCAAATAATAGCATCACTGTCCCACATTCTATGGCAGCATAAGCTGCTCATAAAGTACTGCAAACTAATGAATGTTCGGCTCCTAAACGAAAAGAAATACACTTAACTGATGAGGAGCCCTACATTGTCCGTTATTATTCCTTCCAAAAAGACAAAAGGATAATTTCTACCCATTGTGACCTCCAGTGTGGAATAATGTAGTGCATTAAAATAGAAAAAATTTGAAAAGCATAAAAAAGTTTTGCAAGGAAGATTTTGCATGTCAGCATGAACCTTAACGAATGGTCACAACTTGAGGCACCTTGAATTACAGGATCACATGCATCCTTCATGGCATTGGTTGGTGGTGCCAATCTGGTTATATAAGGATCATTCTTATCTAATTGCTTGTCTTCCTGTGACCTAACCTGCTTATTATGCTGCTTGTTGACAACCCAGATTGATTCTCCTATAGATTGCCCTTATGTTGACTTCACTCTGGATCTCAGCAGCTTGTTTTGCACTCCGGCTCGTTCCTGAGTTTGTCTGCTGCTACTGCACCTGCACCTTGCCGCCCACAAATGTATTACATTGAATTATCAAAGAGTAGTATCTGTTCTTATCAGTGTTCAGGAGGGGGAATGTGCTACTGTTTTGGCCTTATGGTGGGAATGGCTGGCTGCAAAGTACAAACACATCTAAATACAGATAAGCTGCAAAACATTATGTTTTAGTTATTGGGTTTATGTATACTTTAATGAAAGAATAGACAAAACACATTAAACAACTGTAATAGCAACCAATCACTCTAGATTCTTTCATTTTTTCATGGAAATTTGATATAAATTGGGTTTAAATATGAAATGTACAGACACATAAATCACAACAACAAGCATATGGAATATTGCTAAAAAAACAAAAAACCCAGAAATAAAAATAAAATAAAACATTTCAGGAGAGGCGGTAAGCATTTAAGTAGGAAGAACACATATGAAACAGACATGCATGAAGGAATTTTTATTTTTTTTTAATGTTCCTACATTATTAAATATTCTATAGCCTTGTATTGTGTACCATGTTCTCTGCACACTGGTACATTTGGAGGTATTTTTGTACAGGTCTTAAATACAAAAAGTGTGAATTGGTTCAGTCCTGGATTACACAGATCTAACCTTCCATTACCCCACATAACCACCATGGTGTAAATCCACAGTCTACCTTCCAAGGATGCACATCAGTTTCAGGGCCCATTCACACCACATCCAGATTACCGGCAGACCAGAACAGACTGTTTCCGGACCCAACATGCATCCCAATGTATCCCTATGCTATTTCTGGCCATTGTTCCCACCAGCGCAGTCCGTTCCAGACCAGACCAGAAAAATACTGCATGTCTCATTTTGTCTGGTCTGGAATGCACCGGAACGAATAGAAACACATCAAAAATGCATGGAATATACTGGAACGCACTTGTAACACCATTTTAAGCTAAAACGTTTTTTTAAATTCCAAACGCTGCAAAATCGTGGCAAACACGCAATGCACTGTGTTCCAGCTCTGGCCTGGAAAATGGTGTGAAACTAGCCTCAACCTGGAAGGCAGCACACAAGGAATCTCCTCCAAATGTATCTTTATTTTACTGTAAAAGTCCATAAAAGCATTTCTTGCCCTATTTGGCATTAGCCACAGCATGACTATGACTAAGGCCCAGTAGGGCTAAACATATAAGCGGGCATTGCTTTCATGGACTTTACAAGAAACAAAATGCAAGGTGCCTGTAAAAGGCAGCCTTCCAGTGTATTACAGCAACATGTCAGTGCATGTTTCTCTCAATACTAATTAGCAAAACTACCAACAACCTTACTAATTCTCTTTGTACAGATTTATGATTTAGTTGCAAGTCAAGCGGGAACAAATCTGTAGAATATTACAGGTGTTTGAACTTTTCCCATTGAGGCAAAACGAGAATGTGCAGTACATCAATAGTATTTTACTTAAAACCTTGCAGACACTTGTGTACCAAAAACTTCTCTCAATCTTCAAATCCCACTACAACAAGCAGCTAGAGCTTTGTATGGAATAACATTACCATCACTCAGTGAGGACTTGGAGATTTCACTAAAAAGATATGGACATGTAGTACATAAA